CATAGTTTTAGAGTTACAGGGTGTTAAAATTTTTAAAAATTATTTTTTTTGTAAAATACGTATAAAATGTAAATACTATTATTTTTTATTTGAAATTGCTGTATGTTGGACTAATAGCAATAGTAACTAATAGTAATAATATTTAATAATAAATTAGGTAAAATATATAATTTATTAGGCAATGTTATTTTTATTTTAATTTTATTAATTGTGATTAATAAAATTGCGTTTATCTCATCAAGGGAGGCCGAATTCGACAACATATCAAGAGATAACTTTTGATTGGCATTAAACGGCCTACACAATTTTAATATCAAAAGAAAAAAAAGTTAGTGGCGCACATGTTTTTTTTTAAATATTCCAGCGACGTGCATATGGGTTACATATGCACGTCGCACGTCCCTGATGAATTTATCGGCACTTTTTTAGCATTAAAATATGTATCACTTATAATAACATTTAACCTCAAAATTTCATTCAAATCACTAAAAGTACTTGGAAGAAAATTATAATAAATCGAAAAATTATTAAGGTACTAAAACCCTGTAAGTACGAAACAAAGTAGAATCGGACCTATGTTGATATGAAAAATAAGTCTTATTTTTAAGTGAGGAATCTCCCCATGAGTGATGACACATGCTTTTTGAAACACCCTGTTTTTTAAGTTATATTTGCTTTTTTAAATACTTTCAACTTCCTTGCACTTTCTATTTAAGCATTTACTAATTTGTTTATTTTAAATAAAACTACCTATATACTATACTGTCCTATACTGTACCTATATACTATGTGTCGAAGACGGCTGGCTAGGTCAAGCCCTAGTGCTTTTCTTGATTTTTTAATGGTGCTTACGGCAGTTTCTTTGATTGAAAAGTTGGCCTTAAGAAGGTGGTAATTTATTTTTAAATGGTCTAGTTTAAAATACAAGAAAATATTTTTGTAAATAGATTTGTGTGAAATAGAAAACGTTCCATTCTTTTTTAATCTATCTACAATTATTGTTAATTTTTGACAAGTGTTATTTAAATTTTTAGTAAATGACGTCTGATTCTTCTAAATGGCGATTGATCTCGCCAAAATTAGAATCGATTGTCGTTCCCCAGCCGTCTTTGACGCCAGTTTTTTTATAATACTGTTTTTTGTAAGTAACTTTATTCTAAGTTTAATCGTTTTTGAGAAATTTCACTTTTATGCAGGGTATTGTATTCTCTTCTCTCCACTGCGGCCACGAGGACCTATTGTGGCTCAGTTTCTACAAGCTCTAATATACAAAGAGCGTTAAAGTTCACCCTCAAACCCAGCCTTTTAACATAGACCGTTATGTCCGAGGGTGATATGTCTCCTAGGTCTGATAAGCCTAGCATGGTTTGCTAAACATCTCAAACCTGGTCCTGCCCCCAACGGGGCAGGTACACATAACGTACTTCATTGTTTCGTTATCTTCCGTACAGAGTCGGCATTCGGCGTCTTCCACCAGTCCCATCCTCTGTAGGTGAAATCTCTAGTAGTGGGAACTATCGAATGAATACTATCGAAACATTCGATAGTTGCAATTCATTCGAATAATTCGATAGCTAGTAAAAAAACATTCGTTGAAAACTATTCGAATAAAAATTATCGAATAGATGCGTCATCTGCCTTGAAATATTGTATTCTAGTAATTCGGCACCAAAAACCATTCATTTATAAAATTCATTCATTTATGAGATTCATTTATTCGTCAGGATCGATTATAATAAAATATTAACTGGATTTTAGTAGTCGCCCGGCGACGTAGGTTTCTTTCCGAGAAACCCGACAGCGGTCGGTGGCAATGCTATGAAAGAAGCCGGCATCTTTGATTTTTTGCGGAGTCATATAAAGATAAGGACACATTATTTTTTTTATTGAGGTGCTAGTATTTACACAGAAAATACATTATGAAGGGCGCTGTTGCCACATATTGGTATTAGTTGATATTAGCAAAGAATATTACTGTTTGGCTTTAGTTAGTTAGGGATACTATCCCTAAGTCTATATATTTTGCATTTTTTTTATTAATATTCGGTTGTTACACTGCAATAATACTTGTTATTTTGCATGTAGGAAAATGATTTTTAATGTTTTTAAGCAAAGACTGGTTTAATAAAAAATAATAATAACAGTAATAATTTGTTATACCTATTAACAACAAAATTTAAAATTTAATATAATTTTTTTTACGTAGTAGCAAAATATAAACAACAAATTAAATGTCAAAATTATTTATATTAGATCCTATTTAAAAATAATATAGTCTTTAAATTTTTTGGCAGCGTTGGTTTATTAAATAATAATAATTACAGAACTAATTTGTTATATTAACAACAAACTTTAAAATCATGAAATATAAACATTTATTAATTTTCTAAGCATGCAGTGTAATGGAAGGAAAATATAAATAAAAAATTAGAAATCAAAATTATTTACATTAGATACTTTATATTACTATTTAAAAATAATATTTACTTTTACTGGCATTTAATTTAAAAATAAACATGTAAGAGGGTATTAGCATAAACAAAATACCAACATCGTTAACTTTTTTTTAAAATTGGCACTGTGTAAAACTTTCAATTTAATTTTCTCATCCCATAGTTTGAGTTCGATAACCATTTACTTAATTACATTACTTTTAATATGATTATTAAGTTTAACTAATTGAAATATTATTAAAACATCTAAAATACAAATATGTATTTTTAAAATTAATTCTAAGTTCATCTCATCTCTCTTAAAATTGCTTCTTCTCAAAATTTCCTTCTTAAAAAATAGACCATATACCATATAAAATAAAATAATTGAAAGATCGGGCTACGGGAAAATCACACAAATTTTCGGAAAAATTTTGACCACCTGCACACGCACACAATCGTCAATTAAAAAAAAACTACTATTTTAGTATTTTAAATATTTTAATAAACGCAAAAATAGCACAGTATTTATAAGGCGAAGTTATAAAAATTTGGAAGAACTAATAATGCACTCACGCACACAAAAATCTAACGAATACTAAATTTCATTTATCAAAAGCATTCAATAGTCGTGGCTCAACGATAACCATTTAGTCGCACGGCGAGGTTGTCACATATGCTTTAGTATACAAATGAATGAATGATTTTATTCGAATAAAACCATTCGATAGTCTAATTCATTCGATAGTTCCCATCGCTAGAAAGCTCAGCAGGCAGTGGCCCGTGTACACTGCAGTGAGTGTACGCGCTCCATTCCTACTGGCCTTTAGGAGTTCTCCTGTTCTATGTTTGGATGGCCCTGCTAGGATTTTCTTGGCATGTTCCACACTCCAGTCCCGGAACGTCGCACCCCTAAAGGCTGATTCATGGTACACCGGGCCGTACCCGAGCCGGGCACGGACGGGACACGGACGCGTTTCGGCGAAGCTCGGCCCGTGCCCGGCTTAGCATGAATGCATACGTATAAATAACATTTGACAATATTTGGCCGTGCCTTCACCGTCGCACGGCCCCGGCCCGTCACGGTGTACCATGAATCAGCCTTAACCCATTCCCAGAGCCTGTCTCTTGCGAGATTTTTTGGAACGCTAAGTGTCAGTTCTGGGCCCACGAATGGCGAGCCTGCACCAATTTTGGCGAGGGAATCAGCACGTTCATTTCCCTCTAGGCCGACATATCCCGGTATCCATATTAGCGACACTTTGTTCCTATCTCCTAATATATTGAGTAGTTTCTTACAATGAAGAATAGACGTGCTTTTCGTTGCCTCAAGTGCTTTTAGCGCGGCTTGACTATCCGAAAATATGCATATTGTTTTCCCGGTGTATTGCTGTTCTACCAGCAGTTGCACACAGGTTTCAATGGCATATAGCTCAGCTTGGAAAATTGTGGTGTGTTTTCCAAGACTGTGATCTAAGATTATGTTTTCCAAGATCTCAGTCTTTGGACTGCTGCAGTAAATTCCTGCGCCAGATCCTTTTTCGTTTTTGGATCCGTCCGTGTACCAACACATTTCCGCATGTAATAATCCGTTTCCCGGCTTATCCCATTCGTCCCTATTCGGAAACAGGACGTTGTAGGTTGAACCACCATAACTTTCATAAGTTTATATATTGATTAACCAGTTAGCAACCCATCAGAGCAAACTCTTTGCCTTCAATTTTCTCGAAAACCATCGCTCTGGGCGATGTGCAACAAAAATACATTTTTGTAGGAAAAAGTATGTAGTTTTCAAAAAATAAACCCACGTTGCAAAAAAAATAATGTCAAAAAAGTTGTTCTCGAAACAACCCCCTACCCTTGCAGAAACTACCCTTTCCGCTTTTCCAAATAATTTTTCACTATCACCATTTGATTTAAGATTTAGGGTCAATATTTATGGCAGAGAATTTTTTTTCGAAATTTTACCTCGTTTTCTAAGCCTACAATTTCAAAACAACCGTTTTTTAAATTCACCTTTCAGTGCCCCTAACTCCCTTAATATGCATTTTCCACCCTATACTTATAGGAACTTTTTTTACGATTTTTAGGAGTACTATCACCCATTTTTTTACACCATTTCAATGACACCCTGTATACAAGTCAAGCGTAGTGGTGTACCATTTATTTTAAGAAGATTAAATTCGTTTTTTTTTAAATTTGTATCACTCTCAAGGTTCAAAGTTCTTTAGACCGCATGTTGACATAAACTTCTTTTCTTAAAATATATGAGAAATCATACCATCATTTTTTTACTAAGGAAGACTCCTTAAGAAAAACAGCCTGTATATTTAAATTATATCCTGAACAAAACTTTTAATGAACGTGTTGTGTGAAAAATACTACAAAATTATTGGACCATACAGTAGATGTTTAATTAATGTAATGTAAATGTAGTTAATGACAAATAAGACAAGACCTGATGATTTTGCAATAAGCACTAATGGATAAAAACGGAATTTTATAGTGACACAGTTAAAAGGGAACAGCTAAAAGGGGGAGTAAAAAGTGGAATGATTGTTTTGTTATAGCGACTTTTTCTGACCTCGGGTGCAGTACATTTACTTTAGCATTAGTTTGCGCTAGAGTTCACCGAAGAACAGGTGCGAAAACTAGAAACAATAATGACTGGTATGGGAAGGATACTTATTTTTGTGTTTTTCATATACGGATGTCAGGCCGTTCAGGTATCTTAATTAAAAATATCTTAATTTTCAACCAAACATCAACCAATTTTAGATTTTTTTTCTGATTCTAGTTTTTTTCTTAATCTACAGAGCTTATATCTACATCGATTGACCACACATTAAGTTTTTTTCATTTATTAGGATAGTTAAGATTTAGCTCCATTTTCCAAATAATTTGTTTTTTTATTTTGTTATATTTTAATGTATAGAAATATTTTTATTTGCAAATAACTATACAGGGTCCGGCAATAGTGCGTCGGGCATCTGTAGCTCCTAAAATAAAAAACTTGGGAATTTTGTTTAAGTTCAAATCTAAAGTATGTACTAGGATGTATTTTAGGAAAATATATTAACTTCTATAGGGTGGCCCAATGTGGATCGGGATGATTTTTTTTAAATGGAACACCCTGTATATTATTGCATTTTTGGCTTCCTTTCGCATCACTTTACATAATCGTAAGACATGAGTAAATATATTTCGATAATTTCAGAGATATTAATAAATAAATCAAAATTATATATTTTTCAGCCTTTTCTTAAAAAAAATTATTAATAATACAAGAACTGTCCTGAAATCAAAACTATATTAGATATTTACTTTAGATGGTCTGTACTTACTTTGCTATAAATATGGAAATCGTGAATCATACAGGATGTTCAAAATTCTACGCCAAACTTTCTAAAATATAAAATAAATTTTCTTTGTTTTTTTAAATGGAACACCCTGTATTTTATTTTTTCAATAGATGAAGAATTAAAAAATGAACATTTTTTGCATTTAGAGTATTAAAATTTTTTAACAGTTTCGCAGATATTCCCGGTTTTGTATTTCATATGGCATTTACTACAGTAAATGTTTACCAAAGCCACCCAATGATTTTTCTCTCGTATTTTACCATTGAAAGCGCCATATGAAATAATACTGCGTGTATCCGGAAAATTATTAAAAATTTTGAAATACTTTAAACACAAAAAATGTTCATTTTTTAATTCTCCATCAAATAAAAAAATAATATACAGGGTGTTCCATTTAAAAAAACGAACAAAAATTATTTTATATTTTTGAAAGTTTGGCGTAAAATATTGAACATCCTGTATGATTTACGATTACCATATTTATAGCAAAGTAAGAACAGACCTTCTAAAGTAAATATCTAATATAGTTTTGATTTCAGAACAGTTCTTGTATTTTTAATATATTCTTTTAGGAAGCGTTGAAAAACATATATTTTTGATTTATTTTTTAATATCTCTGATACTATCGAAATAGATTTACTCATATCTTAGGATTACGTAAAGTGATCTGAAAGAAAGCCGAAAATGCAATAATATACAGGGTGTTCCATTAAAAAAAAATCATCCAGATCCACTCACACTTTTTTGAGCCACCCTATAGAAGTTAAAATATTTTCCGAAAATACATCCTCATACATACTTTAGGTTTACACCTAAACAAAATTCTCAAGTTTTTTAATCTAGGAGGTACAGATGCCCGACGCACTATTGCCGGACCCCTGTATTATTATTATTTTTTAATTATTTCGTTTAATACATTACATATCATATTTGTATTCGCTTTTTCAGGACATAGCTAAAAAATGTGATATACCTGCTACTGCACCTAAAAAAATAGAAGAAGTAATAAATACCTGTCAGGATGAAATAAAAATAGCTATTTTATCAGGTGTGTAATGCTAGTCTTTTAGGATAATATATAAACTACTTATTTTTTTAATTCATTCTAGAGGCTTTAGAAGTTCTGAGTGTGAATGAAGAAAAAGCTAGGGTGAAAAGATCCACATTTAATCCCGATGAAAAACGACTTGCAGGGGTAAGTTTTTTAAATATATTATCAGATTTAACAGCAATATACCTTTTTATAGAAATCAGAGCCTTAAAGTACTAAATACAGGGTGGGTCAAGTGCAAATATTTTTGACCCCAGAAACACGTCTATGAGGTTTTTTAGTATTTTTTTTAATTTGTTATTTTTTTAACTGTTAGTTAAAAACAGTATTTATCTCGGTTATTTTGACCCCAGAAACACGTCTGAGTTTTATTTCGCGAAAATTTTTTTTTTGAGGATTTGGATTTTTTTAATTGTTTAGTCAAAAAACGTATCTTCGTAATAAAGTATCATTAGATAAATTTACAAGATAGACAGAAATCATCTAGTGGTTCTCAAAATTTAAGCAAAAAATTATTTTTTTTTTGAAAATGTTAAACTATACAGGGTCTTAAAAATTCCAGGTACGAGCATTGGTATCTCGGAAACCGTAATAGATACACGAAGATGGTTAAATTGAAGCAAAGTTTCGCTTTGGGATGTTCACCAAGACGCCATCAAAAAAGTTTCAAAATTTTCAAGGATTGCTCAGTTTTTTAGAAAAAAAACGGGATTTTTTTGAAAATCAATTTTATTTTTTTTGTCGTTACTTTTTAGAAAATAAAAAACTAATTGCACATTCTCATAGCCACTTTATTAGGGCTATCTGATAGTATTTTTAGATTTTCAAATTAGCTGATAATTTGTGAGATACAAAGGAACACAATATATCGGAATACAGTGTAAGGCCAAATTATTTTTTTTTTAAATACGGACCTGCATTTTTTATTTCAGGTTTTGAAAGAACTCGGTCTCCCGAGTACAATTATATGCTACACTTTATATTTTTTTGTTTTGGATATTTTAACAACATCAAAACTATTTAATTATTATTTATACTGATTTCAAGTTCGGCTCTGTCTTTTTTTAATTATTTAATCTGATTATATTCATCGCAACAATATTGATCAGCGCTCATTGAATTAGGAAATTGAGCCAATTGAAAGATTCAAATAAATAATATCCAGGTCAGAAATTTAAAGATATTATTTTTATTTTTTTTTACTGTGAATTTGAAATCTCAGTGTACGATCTAATAATATGCATTATATTAATCGTAGTTATTATAAATAAATCAACTTCTACAAACTAGTTTCTAATGCTCTAAATGTTCAAAGGGTTACCACCCTCCTTATCTATTGCACAGGTTTTTTTTCGTTCAATTTTATTTATAGCTCTTTGAACAGATGTTCTTATACTTCCGAATGCACTTTGTACTCTTTATTGTAAATGTTGAGATGTATTGATTTAGATTTAACAATTATTGACGTCGAGTAATGCCCCCCTCCGCTCCATGGCGATAGGTCCAGGAACCTCGCTGGCCATTATATTGCATCTACACTCTACCATTTCCAATTCATCTCATCTTCCGTGGAAATGATTTGATTGCTTATATTTATATAAACATATAATCCTTAATTTAATTTAATATTTATATTTTTTATTGTTTTATATTTTTTTATTATTTTATTGCATTTGATTTTCCGTATTCAGTGTTTTACCCCACGTCATAGTTAGGTTTGAAAGCTAATCAATATTGTAACGATGAATAAATTATTTTATTATTTATTAAAATATTTAAAAAAAAAACAGAGCCGGGCTTGAAATTAATTTAAATAAATTGTGTTCAAATGTCCAAAACAAAAAAAAATAAGTGTGGCATATCATTGTACTCAGGAGACCGAGTTCTTTCAAAACCTGAAATAAAAAATGCAGGTTCCCTTAAAAAATCAAGTTTTATTTTTTTCCTTGCGAAGTGCTCTATTTAGAAAAAAACTGTAAATAAAGGTTTTTAAATTGACGGACTTCACTATATTTTCTTTTTCAAAATTAGTGGGTGGATAAAAAAATTCTAGTCAAATATTGTCAGTTGCGTAGCTGTTTAGACACCTTGTATATGACATTTGATATATCCAAATAATTATTCTGCTAAAAATGTGACCTGATTTATGACATACAGTGGTGGCAAAAAGTATGGAAACTTTTTACTTTTTAAAATATCACAGAAAATATTGCTATGCTTAAACTCTCAGGAATATAAATGAACAGCTTATTAGCAAATAAAAGTATTCTAAAAATTACACAGCGAAAAAAATCTGTTTAGCAGTTTTTGTAGGAGAACAATAGATTTCTGGTAGCCAAAAGTATGGAAACCATAAATAAATACATTAAAATTATTTAGTTTAAGCTGATAAACGGTACGATTTGCTTCAGATAAATATAAACATCATGCCCAATTCTAAATATTTCTCTACGGACTTAAAAAATAAAATAGTTGAATTATACAAGAGCGGTTATAAACAAATTCAAATAAGTAAAAATTTAAACATTTTATAAGGCACCGTTTCGAAAATAATTCGTAAATTTAATAAAACAGGGAACGTTTCAACAGCTTTTAAGTCAGGAAGACCAAGAAAGTTGTGCAGCAGGACAATGAAAGTAATGAAGAGAATATCAATGGGAGATCCAAGAAAAACATCCACAGACATTTCTCGAGAAATGGGTGAAAGGGGAATATCGGTGTCTGCACGCACGGTGAGAAGAAGGTTGGATCACACGGGATTTTTTGGAAGAGTTGCGGTGAAGAAACCACTGATATCAAAGAAAAATAGGATGGCCCGCTTTAAATTTGCTCAAGATCATCTCACCTGGTCTTATCAGAAATGGAATACTGTACTGTTTAGCGACGAAAGCAAGTTTCAACTGTTTGGTAGTGACGGGAGACATTATGTCCGAAGACCAAAATGTACACGGTACAGACACAAGTACCAGATGCCCACAGTAAAACATGGGGGTGGGAGTATAATGGTATGGGGGTGTTTTTCTCGCTCAGGTGTTGGTCCTCTTGTTAAAATTGATGGGATAATGGACCGTTTTTTGTACAAAGACATATTGGAGAATAATATGCTGCCTCATGCTGATGAAGAAATGCTACTCAGATGGTTGTTCCAGCCAGACAATGATCCCAAGCACAAATCTCGGTTTGTTCAAAATTGGTTAAATGAACATAATGTTCCACTAATGGATTGGCCCTCACAGTCTCCGGATCTTAACCCCATAGAAAATTTATGGGACCATTTGGATAGCAAAATTCGAAGCCATTCTATTTCAAATAAAAATGAATTATGGGAAGTGCTAAAAACTGAATGGGCGGCCATTTCCAGTAAAGATTGTACGAGATTGATCGATTCGATGCCACGAAGATGTAGAGAAGTAATTAATTCAAAGGGATATTCCACTAAATATTAGTAATTTTTATATTATCTTGAATTTTAATAAACATTCTTCTTAAGTTTCCATACTTTTGACCAAGAAAATATTCATATTTTTTTATATATTTTTTGATAGCTGTAATTTTTATTTAAATGTATTAGGTTTTGTAAGAAATTATTTGTAGGTCAGGATTATATAAGTCGTTTTATTTCATATTTTAATTTCTCAGCATAAATGACAAATTAAAAAAGTTTCCATACTTTTGGCCACCACTGTATACAGGGTCAGTCTTAAATAACTGCAAATATTTTCACAGGGCTGTTAGATCTCGATAAAAAAAAACATATTTCTCTTTACCGTTGTATATACAGGGTGTCCCAGGCTGAGCGTGCATTAGAAGTTTCTAGAGAACTACAACATCTAGCTCGGATATTTTTTGCACATCATAGTTTTACAACGAGATCTATCGATTAAAAATATTTTCAATATGGCGGCACTTCTGGAAATACCGGAAGTTGACAGCAACTTTCTTATTTTAAATGGGTGCCCCCATTTTTTATTACATACTTAAACTATCTGTAAAATTTTATGAATTTTGATATTAAACACTCTGTATCTAACAATCACCGTTTTTGATAAAAAAAAAATATTAAAATTTTAGACGAAAAAAACTGCCTGTCAAAAAAATGTGTATAGCCTAAACGTCAAATTTAGTGATTACCACAACCACTGTGACATAAAGATAAAACATGTAGCTATCTATTTCAAAAATTAAATTGTTCGAATGTCATATAATAATGGCCGCAGCTGTCATAGAATTGAGCGATTAAAAAATTATCATAAATCATTTTTTTCAAATGGAACCCACTTTTTTTATTTCACTAGTGAAAAGGCTTTTCAATTCGTTACTTTTTGACAATACATGTTCCTATACCTAAAATAAATCGTTTCAAAGTTATTTAAGATTTTGTTTTAAAGCGTATATTTTTCTTGATTTTAACCAGTAGCCTATGACTTTAAACGTCAAGTGATGTAAAACAATAGATCTGGCCATGTCATGCGCCAACTTTGCGCTGTTTTTTTCGACCACATTATGGAATATTATTAATAATATCAACTACTTATTAGATATCACTAAAGAGCAAAAATACGAGATATATTTTTATAAATACACTTTTTAAACTCTTAAAGCAGACTGTATTTATAATATAGGAAATTCAAATAATTCTTTTTTGACCGATGGAAGTAAATTGTCTGACCGTTTGACACTTAATGTCAAAGGAAGCTAGATAAAATCAAGAAAAATATACGTTTTCAAATTAAATCTTAAATAACTTAAAAACGATTTATTTTAGGTATAGGAACATGTATAGTTAAAAAGTAATGAAGTAAAAAACCTTTTCATTAGTGAAATAAAAAAGGGGGTTTCCATTTGAAAAAAAATATTAATGATAATTTTTTAAACGCTCAATTCTATGACAGCTACCGCCATTATTGTATGACATTTGAACAATTTAATTTTTGAAATAGATAGCCACATGTCTTCTCTTTATGTCACAGTGGCTGTGGTAATCACTAAATTTGACTTATAGGCTATACAAATTTTTTTGACAGGTAGTTTTTTTCGTCCAAAAATTTTAATTTTTTTTTTTCTCAAAAACGGTTAATGTTAGATATAGAGTGTTTAACATCAATATTTATATAATTTTACAGATAATTTAAGTGTGTAATAAA